CAAAAACCTCTCCCAAACAAGCTCTTAGCTTTTATACAAAAAATTGTCATATCCCAAAGTGTAAGAATGTAAAACTCTTTTTGAACATTTTTCTTTATTATTTATAATGATAATATATAATTAAATTTTTTTGAGGCTCTCATCAAAGCTGAATCCTAGAGGATTGTCTACCCTATCTATAGTCAGGGTTGGCACTGTGAGTGCGTCAAGGGATTAGATAGGATCCCAAAATAATGAGCATGTTTCTCGTATATTTAAAAATTAAGTCAAACTTTTAAATTATTCTTTTTGCCAAATACAATTTTTGAACTTACTCTAAACTAACAAAACTTATTTCTCGAGGAATACTGATACGATTCCAAATTCATAACACTGATCCTAAAGTATGTCTAATATTTACTTTTACGGAGTAAGAATTATAGCAAATTACGCCTTTGTTTGACACCCATTTTGTTTGAAAAATAATTTTTGGAATAGTGATTGATGGAAGATTGTGTGGTTAAAAAGTATGAAGAATTTTTAGGTTTATGTATAATATTAATTTATTAATATAATGTGTGATTAAAATGAAAAAAGAAAAATAAAATGAAAAAAAAATGAGTGTCAAACGGGGGCTACGATTCAACAAACTGCAGCTTCCTTGTTAATTACTTCTCAAGACTTTCCAAGTCTACTAAAGTGACAACTCACATTGTATGGGACCCATAACCTTTTCACTTATTTCTGTTTTCCCTAGCAAATTGGAGATTCTCGTTGCTCTATGTTCTTGTTGTTAGGCATGGTTTTCTCACGGGAGCTCTGTAGGGCTGCTTCCAGTTTAGTTGTCTATGTCTCTCTGTTTCATCTATATTTCCTTCACTTGGTTGATTCTCAATGTCCAAGTGAGTTCCAGTGTGGAAATCTTGGCAATTTGACGTTTCCTCTGGCCAATAGTTCGCAACCCGGATGTGGGTTGCTCACGGTTGAGTGCGGAGATGGGCCGAATCCAAAAATTCACCTGGATAATAATTATTGGCTTCCAACACCCTATGTTATTCTGAACAAGTCATCTACCAAAGTATTGATACGAAATCAATTTCTTCCGGGTTTTTTAAATGATAGAAATGAGGAAAGATGCCATTTT